TATTTATTTATTTGCATTGTTCTGGCCGGAGTTGCGCTTGAAGTTCRGAAGTGCGCCCTGCGCGCCGCATCCCCCGCACCGTGGGGGGCTGAGGCGGCCCGGAGTGTGTGTGKGGGGGGGCCTGCACTGCACGCCCCCCTTTTCCTCCCGCCTCATTGTGAGGGGAATTTGTTGGGCTCTCGCACTTTGGTAGTGGAAGCTTCCATTTTGTGAGGGAAAGGGGTGCCCGCGCTCGCCTCCCAACATGGAGAAAAGTCTGCGGAGTTTGCGGTGGGGGAGGGGGCCCCATTCATGCTCGGCATTACCATTTTGATTGCTTTGATGCCATTTTTGGAGGGGGGGAGGGGACAGAATGCCCTACTCAGCAGAGCACAAAGATGTTTAATCACTGTATAGAATCAAATCAGATACTTTCTTTTTTAAAGCAAATCTGACACTACATGATAGCTAAGGGCTGTTAGTCTTCTTTCTTTTTTTTTTCCCCTTCGCTGTAAAACAGCAAGTTGTTGACTCTTAATGCTACTACACTGAGTAGAGGATTTTTTTCTTTTTTTCTTAAACCGAGGTAACAGCCTTCACTGCAACAATGCATCTTTATGTGTTCTTTCTTCAATAGGGAAATAGTTTTACTGTTCTAAGTGGGCATTTAGAACATACATTTGATCATTTCCCCCTGTATTGTAGCAACTATTTCCAGGCTGTTTAAATTTTTATGATGATAGTAAATGAGAAGCTATTTATTATGTGTCATGTTGGAATTTAGATAAGGCAGAGAGACGCATTTGAAAATGCAGGAGGGGCCGCTCGGATTCCGCTCGGGGCGGGGGGACGAGGGTTTTGCTAAGCTTRCACAATGTTTCCTCTGTAATCCCAACTCCCTCGTAAACAATGGTCACCTATTTATGACTCCCCCTTGTAAATAAATCTCTGCTCCGCACTGTAATTAAATGCACCATGCTAAAGCTCCGCAAGCAGGAGATTTTGGCCTAGCAAGAACGACTCCTGTTTTTAGGCAGAAACCTAGTTTTGYATTTCTTTTCCCGATTTCAGCATGCGGTGCAACAAGAGCTTAGAAATAGGAGATGAGGCGGTGGTGATGCGGAGGCCTCGTGCTCCAGACTGCCCCCTCTGGAGGTCTACGTTGAAAGCTCTCTTGGGTCACATGTGACATGAGTTGGAAGATCTCAGCGTTCGAGCAGGGTGCAAAACCGTGACGTAACTTTAAGGGCTCAGTATAATTAGCAGTTTCTCCTTGCCTGATGGCTGGTGAAGGAACTGTTGGCCCTCCAGGGCGTGAAGGAGACGCACTGAGGGCTACTGCCCCTAGTTTGCGTGTTACTGCAGCTCTTCAGGGGTTTGGGCTCTGCCTTTGGTGAGTACCAAGTGAAATCGGGAAGACAATGCAAGCAGGAAGGTCGTTTAATAAAGTATTTACTTTCCTTACCTTCCTCCTCTCCCCTTCCCACAAAGACTTGTTTTGGAACAACTAATTCCTAAAGGGCTAATGTAACTAACGTATACCTTTGCCTGTGCATGCCTGGAATGCAAAAGATGCTGGAATTAGGTTTCAATTAAAAGGCGCACGTGGATGATGAAACGGAGAGTAAAATGAATGGATGACCGCATCATCCACATCTGTTAAGAAATATAGCAAGGGTGAGGGTTATCTTTCCGTRCCCACTGCTTCAATTTGCCACTGAAGCCATGAGCATTTATGGCAACATTTTCTTTTCCTTAAAAGTTACAAATGAAGATAAAATTAAAAGACCAGCTCAGCTCTTGAGTCAGGTGGATAAAGCAGACTTTTGTGAGAAGTTAGAGTTCCGCTTGAAACTGAATTAAATTGCCCCGTCACGAATGTTTCTTTTACRTCGCTGGTGTGGAGAAATAAGGAATTAAATGTAGTTTTAATATTTTCCCAGTTGCTGCAATTAAGCATTATGGAGACATCGTTTTCATTATTTAGATGGTGTCACTTAAATCAATACTTAATTTGGCATCTTACTCAGAGAGACAAAGTTAGATCTTTTTGGTAGAAATTGTGTTTTTCGTCCGCTATAGTTTTGATGAATTGTAATAGCATTTGAGAGTGGGCTACCTCTTCCTTAACAAGATATGATGTGTGAAGACTCCATTAGTTGGTCCAGTGGTTTTACACCTTCAATCTACATCACATGCAGAGCAGCAGTAACATTTTTATCTAAATTGTCAAGCAACAAGCATTTGTATGTAAATAAAAGAGCTGTCCTAAGAGCCAGCACCAGAGGTGCCCTGCTGCCAGTGCTCCTGGCTTTCTTTATTTCCTGAAAGAGTCATTAAGGGTCTTTGCCTTTCAGAAAGTTCTCTCTTGTTAATTCATAGATTAAGAGAAACAAATAAGCAAATCTTTAACCTCCAGTCGCAAGTTAAGTCTTTTGGCACGAGTGTTAGGAGGGGAGCTGGCTCTTCACAATTAACCATGAGCTCATGTGTGGGCTACTGTATTTTCAACTGTGATGGGCTCTGGGTTCAGGCAGCCTGTCCTGGAGTGCAGTAATAAAAATATGTCTTCCTGAAAGACATTATATGTCTGACGTTCTCGTTCGCGCTGCCTCATTTCTTTACCATAATTTACAATCTATGCAGAAAATCAACGTTGGTTTCAGGCAGACTCTTCCAGCCTGTGTTTGTTACTGCCCCTTTGCATTTTGGCGTAATATATTTGAAATTAAACCGCTGGCTGTGTTTTTGCTCCTGGTGATTACCAGCGGAGCCCATTTGTGGAAAGCATGAGTCTGCCTAAAAATTAAATAGTCTYTTATGGAAGCTGTTGGAAACTTCTAAACTTGAGATTTTTGCTTCTGCCCACATTATGTCTTTTTTTTTKGAGGGGGTGGGGAGGGGAAGGAGGAACAGTTTTGTAGGTTTGTCGAAGCGTGCGCTGTGCTGCGCCTGGAAATGGCAGCAATGGCAGCATTGTTTACACATGTTAAAGGCGAAATTATTGACATTTGCCAAAGCTCAGTATTTCATATGGTTGAGTACTTTCAAAATTGTTGAGCTAAAATAGGGGTTATAAGTGCCAGCGAAAGCAGAGTTAAAGCCTGAAAAGCATTTCTAAATCAAGTTGAACCCAATGTCAAACTCTATCCCAAGGTGCGTGTGGAGAGCATGCTGGTTTCTTGTGGCAAGAACTGTATCTATGCACGTCCCTCCCAGCAGAATTTGGTTGGAAGGGTCTTCCCGAACACTCACTGATGTCAGGGGAGACGGGATCACCATCCTCCGGGTGGACTATGCAGCTTTCCAGTCACTGCACGGAGTCTCGAGGCAGAGACACAACAGGTATTTTTAGCACGATCTCGGCTTTGCCCTTCTGCTGGGTGTTGAGCACCCAACTTTGCTGAGAAACCCAAGCAGACTGCAGAATCAGGTGAACTTGCTGGATCAAAGTAAAGATCAGTTGTGGACTGCAATTCAGGAAGCTTCAGTTCCTCTCTTTTTTTTTTTTTTTTTTTTTTTTTTTTTTTTTTTTTTTTTTTTTTCCTCTTCCTAGAATCAGCTAATAATTTATTAGTTGCTTTGCTATTTGTGCTACGAGCGCCTGAACTAGGGAAGAATTTCCCTTTGACTCCTTCTAGGAGAAACGTGGAAATACCGTGCGTATAATGGCAAACCTGGCACTCTGTGTTTTTGGTCGTTCTGCGTGGAGATTACACATTCCTTTTGGGGTGAAATTGAAATAAAGAACATGTTCATAGAGGGGAAGCACAGTTGGAACGGGAGTACTCGTGCCTTTCTGCCTTCCATTAGTTGCCCTTACGGATTCATGGAAATTGCACATGTGCAATGAAAATGTGTGCGGGAGGGGGGTTAGAACCACCTTTTGTTTGGGAGCTGCTGGCCTGGCGTGTGAAC